CCCATTGTGAAATTTGCAAGTGCAACCTAAGTGGGTTCGTGTCAAAATATACTTCAATTATATCCGATTGGTTTATTAATTCGTGTCTAACGAGTCGTGTTATATCTTGTTCATATCATGTATGAATCTTGAATAACCGATATATAAACGAGTCAAATCATGTATTTTTTTTAATTAAGTTCACTTATACTTAATTCGTTTATGAAACAAGTGATTTAAGAAAAATTTAAATTCTTTAATTTCGTATTATGTCCATATCGTGTTAATGAGTTGTCCAAAGGGTTTGGCTAGTCTAGGCCTGTTGAAATTCTTATCACCTGTCGTGTCCAATATTGACCTGATCCGAATTTGAACTTGCCTTAATGGGCTGGAAGATGTTCCATGGACTAAGATAAAAAATAAAAGTCCATTATGTTCCAACTTTTTTTTGTGGTCAGGTACTTTTACATAGGCAAGAACGTTGGGTTTGAACTCATGACTTTAATATCTAACAGTAACGGCACTCATTGTTAAACTAATGGTTAAAGTTTCAGTACTGTAAGAACTGAACAACCACGAACTATGCATCGAAGTTTAATCCCTTCAAGTTAGGCCATGGGCCAACAGCCTTTGATTTGCCACACCATTGCTACAGGAGGGGCTTGCCCCATCAGTCTACTTTGCCAATGGGTAATGGAAGTGAAACAATCTAACTCAAACTTAATTATAAAACAGCAGACGAATTACATTTTATATTCTGAAAAGATTTCAAATTTCTCACTTTATACTTTTAAAGATTAAATTTTTCACATTGCACTCTCAATATATTAAAAGTGTTGTAATGTGACCTTCTGTTGATTTTTCGTTAGTTTTTCTGTCGGTGTCAATGAATTGACTTTTAACGAAAACAATAACGAAAATTAATAAAAGAGTCACATTATAATACATTTGATACATTAAAGGTATAATATAAAAATTTTAATTTGTGAAGACATAAAATAAAAAATTTAAAAATTTTCAACGTGCAAAGTGCAAAAGAACCCCAAAACCGCCGAAAGGCTTGGCCCGGCCAAAGCCCGGGGGTTCTACCTAATTGACTTTGTCCATCAATGCATATCAAAATGGCTTCAATCAAATCTTATATGAACCAGCCCCATCAATGGATATGGATCAATGAGAAGGTTAGGATCGAGACTTTTTAATTACACTTTCATTTAACAATAAATTATTTACCATTAATACAAATGAGATTTACCATTTATTAGTGGATCCTTCATCTATATACGAGACGAATTATCACCAAGTGAAATTTAAGTAATGTGTAATAAAGATGATCTCAATCCGGTCAAGTTATAGTACAATGCCGAAATTGATCTAGAGTCGTTGATTTTTGTTTGAAACATTTGCAACGGTTCATTAAAAAATAATAAAGTAATAAAAACAAATTAAAATATATATACACATAATATATTCTTATCGGATAAAAAGTGGATGTATGGTAAAGAAAATTGAATTTAAAGGGGCCCATGAATTAATTACTTGACCTCTCTGCTCATCCAAGATCTGGATGACGAACTATTTGACACATGTCCATCTGATCCAATATCTCTTGCAATGTACATGCACCAAAATCAATCCATGTGGGCGAATAGCAATGACCCACCTGTTATACAGTTCAAAGTCACATGCAACGATGGTATGCTCATATTATAGAAGCAATAACTCTTTTCCAAATCCCTTGCACCAAAATTATTAGATGTGATGGTCCTTTTCGTTTAGAAACGTTTTTAATTTTTGTCATTATTAAATAGGATTTAATTCACGAGAATAATGTAATTTACTGTTTAATTTTGATGGTATTATAGTGATGAACTATTCTTCTAAGTTAGTACCTCTTATTCAAATTGAATACTTTATAGTGAAGGAATTCTCATGGTCACCGCTTAGGGATTACTGCCTAATCACCTCTTTCCTATGTTTCCCAAGCAAAAAATAAATAAAAATTCTCTTATACCGAATTATCATAGTATAATCATAGTCATCAAAAAAAAATTATTTGAGCTAACGGAATACACTAATTTGACAATTTCTATTTATTTATTAAAAAAAATGGATAAAAATCTAGTGAGTGTAATATTGTTGTTTTTAGAATGATTTTATGAGTTGTACACTACTGTTGCCGATCGTGACCAAATTGGTGAGGTGTCCAACTGAATAATACAGGTTGGCTTTTGTTGGGAAGAAACATAGACCATAAGGTCATCAGCATGTTATTGAAATTTTGTCTGCTAATTGGACTTGATGGCAAATGGTACATGCATCCAACTTAATTCTTCCCGATGGTTATGATTGATAGTCCAATTATTTGTGCCCAAGCTGATCTCTCTCCTCCCTTGCCATGTGTACAAGTTACAATAACATGGTAGTTCTTATTAGTCATGCTTAAAAAAGAAAAAAGAAAAAAATATTGATGATTTTTGTACACATGTATAATAATAAGACACAACAAAATTTGAATTCTCAAGACTAGTTTATCACAAGATGGGTTCAAAATTTAATATAATTTTAGCTAAATAATCTAGATTTTATCTACAATCATGTTATTTAATCCAATGGTTCATGGATCCCACATAAAAAAATTCTCGCCCAAGTTTAACTATACACACATGGCACCCAATCCCAACAAGCAACCCAACCCAAGCCGGCCACTAAGTGGGGTGGTTCAGTAAAATATTGATTAAACTCTTTACTATGAAGTTAGAGGTTAAAATTTTATAGTCTACATTGAAATTCAGTAGTTGACCATTATTCTAACTTAATTAGATTTATTTCCAAGATGAATAACAAAAACGATAAGAGACTATATGATCCTATCAATAAAAACCTATCGAGACAATTTTTGAACACTCTCTAGACAATCTTCTTTACCCTCTCTCTGTCGTCTAGAACATCCAACTCAAGCACCCTCTCTCTCTCTCCTATCTACTTGGACTCGTTAAATCATGTACGACACAACTTAAAACATCTAGTATTTGAGTAATTTTACATTTCAAGTGCGGAGGCATCATCACCATCAACATATCAGCAAAGCAAAAGAATCTTTAATGCTTGAGATTTAACCACATCACTTAAAAAGGAAAAGTTTCGTCATAAATTTAGGATCATTCATATTTGGATCGACCAATATAAAACAAGAATCTATGTGTGTATGTATCAAAAAAGGTAACCTAACCTACATTAGCTAGTTAAGAGACTTCAGTATCGTACCTCCACTAATCTCAACTGTTAATTTTGAATTAAATAATTTATAATTAAAAATTAAAAAAAAAATTACACACGAAGCCTTTCTTATTATAGATGAAAAGTATAAATATAATACCAAAAAATTAGGTAAGCAATGAGGAATGGCAAATCACAAGTCAAATGTTCTTATCCACATTTCTCAATTCTCTCTCATCTCATGAGGCAGACACAGACTGAGATTTTGAGTCGTATCATCCGCTCTTTTTATATGGTCAATAGTGTCTAATCAATGCCTCGCCAGAATCGTATAGGTCTGGCATGGAACTGAGTCAGCAACCAGTCACCCAGCGGGTGGGTTGCTGCCACGTCTCAGATCAATCCAAAATTGGGTCCACAATAATTCAATATTTTGAATAAAATACTGAAACCGCCGTAGGTTAGTTGATTTGAGGTGGGCCTTTCACTTCACACGTTAACGGTTCTTCCACGTCTCTCTCTTATCCACATGCAATTTTGAATGAACACTTTGTGAGTATAAAATAAAGAAAAAAAATTTAATTTATACCTTAAAAAATTTATAATTTAACGTCAAAAAATTATAATTTTTACTATAGCATATCCCAAACAGGGTGTAAATTATAATTTGCGCCCTTAAAATATGCATTTAATTTTAATTTGGATTTTGAAATTTTAATTATAACAATCAAATCTTTAAAATTTTAATTGAGTTTTAATTTGGTTTTTACATCAAAAATTTACAAATTTATTATGATAGAATGGTTTTTCATGACCAACACATAACTTGGATTAAAAGGTTTTTTTTTTTTTTTTTGTTGGATGAAAATTTTGTTGCGTAGGAATGTAAAAATATGAATATATAAAAGTCATATCCGATTATGATTCGAACATAACTAATCAGCGAATTTAGATGATGTTTTACTATTTCTTACAAACCTCCTTATCTTCGATAATCATAAAATAGCTTTAAACACGAATATTTCAACTCATGGTAAGTTAGATTATACGAGTTAAATATGAATTTTCACCATTTTAGAGTCCAAGTCGGGATATAGAAAGAGAGAATGAAGAGCATCAATCATAGTAATTTTTTATATCTCATGTATTGATAGAGTCACATTATATATATAGAAAGAGATATATATAACAAGTGGGGATAAGGCGGAGAGATTTTAGGAATCAAACTCATCTTTATCTAAGTTTGACCAAGTTTAAGTTTAATTCAAACATTAATCCATCTTTATATATCCGGATTGTGTTCGTTCGTGGACGTGGACGTCGATCCAACTCCATATCCAAATGGTAACATGTTATAGTTAAAAATTTTATTTATTTCAATTGATTTTGAGAAAAAAAATGATAACAAATCCAAATAAAAAAATATGTGACAAATTTTTATTAATTGACAAACAGAGGACAATACCGAAAAAATATTTTTTTTTATGCTGTGTAACAGTTAATTCAAAAAAAATAATAAAATCATAAAAAATACAAAACACAAAATAAATATGCGGCCGAACTTCGTTCATCGTTATACGACACGTGGCATACATTCCACACTATAATTTCTTCTTGCAGGTCCCAAAAGCAACACCGTCTCTTTCCTACTCCTCCTCCTTCTCCTTCCTGCTTGCCTCCTTTTTTTTCCTCTGTTGCATATAACAACCAGTCAATCCACAAACGCCTCTCATTCCTCTTCTATTAACCTCACACAAGTCTTTCAAAAACCCAAAACCACCCTCTTATCTAGAACCTCTCTCTCTCTCTCTCTCTCTCTCTCTCTCCAATCTTCTCCATTTCCAAACTCTTCAATTACTTGTAGCGTTTAATCTCCAGATTTCTCCTTTGTTTTCCCTTTTTTTTGGAGATATTTTTGGATTTTGTGTGAATATTTATATATAACTGTACGAGGAAATGGAAGTTTCGGTGATGGGTAGCTCTCAGGTGAAGATAGGGAGGTCAGATTTGGCGTATAGAGATGTTGGGTTTTGTAACTTTAGCAGCAACAATTTGAACGCTAAGATTTTTGCTCGGAATTCAAAGATCTGTTTCGGTCAGACTATCAAGTGCCCGCCAAAGTCTTCGATTCAATTCACCCTTAAAGCCTCCGCCGCAGCCCAATCGGAAGCGGTCGTATCAGACAAAGTCTCGGGCAATACAAGATCCAATACTGTAAGTTTTTCCCTTCAATTATTTTGGTCTTTTTTCTTTATTAATTAACTTTTTTTTTTTTTTTGTTTATCAACGATACACCCTGTTTGGTTGCCGAGAAAGTTGAGGAGAGGAAATGAATTTATGGGTCTTTTGTGATTGAAATTATTCCCCCTTTGCTACCATGAAAAACTCTACCAACCAACCATTATTTGGACTCATCATGGTGGATACGACAAAGGTTTAAGCTGACAATCAGGCTACCTAACGCAACCCTCATCTTTATCTTGTGAATACAACACTAGCAGAGTTATGAAAAACTCTACCTAAATAAAACAAGCATTTAAATCAGGCCGACGGTTTAACCAAAAAAAATTACGACTTTTGAGGATTCTGTTTTCTCTGTATTTGTTTAGGCTAGAGAATGAACTTGTAATCCTATATGTTTTTGTCTCTGGAGTCTCTTTTTGTAGGGAATTGTGCTTGGAAAGACTAGGATTAGAGATTTGATTGTGTCAATTTTGAAGCTTTAATCTGTTCATTTCTGCCCGTAGAAGCAAAATAAATCCTTCTGAAACAGATTATTTGCAACTTCAATTCAATGGATTTTTTAATATAAGGAAAGAAACTCACTGGATTTTAACTACTACTTATTAAATTGATAGTTGAACTAAGGGTTGTAGAGATCCAAAAAAAAAAAAACTAAGAGTTGTAGCATTAGATACCCACTTCTTTGCTAGCAACTTCATCCTTTGAGGCTTGAGAAACAGTGTAATTTGAGTTGCAGATTCTCTCATCTTTTTCCTTAGCTTCAATTCTGAAGTATCAGTGTTCTTGAATTTTCAAGTAAGACCTCACCTGATAATGCTGATATAAACAAACTGATTTCTTCCATTTGCCTGCGCAGATTGATGGTGTGAGATTATATGTTGGGTTGCCCTTGGAAACCGTTTCTGACTGTAAAACAATAAACCACGCACGAGCTATTGCAGCAGGCCTTAAGGCTTTGAAGCTATTGGGGGTGGATGGTGTGGAGCTCCCAGTTTGGTGGGGAATAGCCGAGAAAGAATCTATGGGCAAGTATGAGTGGTCAGGCTACCTTGCTGTTGCAGAGATGGTCCAAAAAGTGGGTCTTAAGCTTCATGTGTCGCTATGCTTCCACGCTGCTAAAGAACCCAAAATTCCCCTCCCTGAATGGGTGTCTCGGATTGGTGAATTGGATTCTAGTATATTCTTTACAGATAGGTCAGGGCAGCATTACAAAGAGTGTCTGTCATTGGCTGTGGATGATCTTCCTGTTCTTGATGGAAAGACTCCAATTCAAGTGTACAAAGAATTTTGTGAGAGCTTCAAGGCATCATTTTCACCTTTCATGGGTTCCACAATCACGGTAAGCTGTTTTGAATCTAGAATTGCAGTTTTTATCAGTTTTTTTATAATCATAATGATGATACTTACGCGTGCTACTGCTACTTTGCAGGGCATATCAATTGGTCTAGGACCTGATGGTGAGCTTAGGTATCCTTCTCACCACCATCCAGCCAAGGGCAATAACAGCCATGGAGTTGGAGAATTTCAGTGTTATGACAAAAACATACTCAGCTGTCTCAAACAGCATGCTGAAACATTTGGGAACCCTCTTTGGGGACTCGCTGGACCACACGATGCCCCCAATTATGACCAGCTCTCGATATCAAACACCTTCTTCAAGGAGAATGGAGGATCATGGGAGATTCCATATGGGGACTTCTTTCTTTCCTGGTACTCAAGCCAGCTCATACTTCACGGAGATCGCCTCCTCTCACTCGCTGCCTCAACTTTCAACGACAGTCCTATCACAGTTTCTGGCAAAGTTCCTCTCATGCACTCATGGTACAGAACCCGTTCCCACCCTTCTGAGCTGACTGCTGGATTCTATAATACTGTCAACAGAGACGGTTATGAAGCAGTTGTCAAGATGTTTTCAAGGAATTCCTGCAAAATGATCTTGCCAGGGATGGACTTATCAGATGAACACCAGACTAATGAATCCTTCTCGAGTCCAGAGTCGTTACTCGCACAAATTACAACTGCTTGCAGAAAGAATGGAGTAGGGGTCTCTGGCCAGAACTCGTTAGTTTCTGGAGCTCCAATGGGTTTTGAAAAGATCAAGAAGAATTTGTTGAGTGAGAATGCGGTGATGGACTTGTTCACATATCAGAGGATGGGGGCTTATTTCTTTTCTCCAGAACATTTTCCTTCGTTTACCGAGTTTATCAGGAGCCTAAATCAACCAAAATTGCATTCAGATGATCTGCCGGTGGATGAGAAAGAAGCTGTTGATTCTCTACCTGCTAAGGATCTCCACATGCAAACTGCTTAGAGTAACAATTCCATGATATAATTAAAGTAGTATAAGCTGCGTAGTTCCATCTCATATGTAGATATTCTGTGAAAAAAAAAATGTAGATATTCTGTAATCTGAGGAGTTACTAGATTCAAATAGAGTATTTTCTGCTTTTCCAAACACAAGTAATTAACTGAGCTATTCTTATATAGGGTGTTAATCGAGATGATATACTTGTTCATGGTTCGGATAAGACTTGTGATTTAAAAGAGCTGCACTTGAATACTTTTTTAGGCTCGTTAAAAAAACTCTCGACTCGTTTATATGTAAAATAGTTGAGCTACTTGAACTCAGCTCCAGTTCGACTTAGGCTTGGGGTTGGATCAAATTTTAAATAAGTTAAACTTGAATATTTTTTTAGGCTTGTTTAGAAAAACGAATTCGATAGACTCAAACTCAAGTTCGCAAAGTTCATCTCGATTAACACTCTATTCTTAAGTGGTTGCTTGCTTTGGTCAGGACTTGAGAAGTTCTCTCCCTCTCTATATGTGTGTGTGTGTGTGTGTGTGGGTGGGTGGGTGGGTGGGGTTGCATGCCCACGAGTGTTATATCAAAAGATAGTATGACCTAAACTAGCGTAAAACCTGGCCCGCAATAATCAATGAGAGGTCGAAACCAGCTGCAAGGTCGGGAGAACACGACTTTGAAAACTTTTGAGGTCTTAACATTGAGGATTTTGACAATTGTCCTATTTGATAAATGGAACCTTCAATCACATAGGAGTAACTTGTGATATTTTCTTCATGTTTCTCTGATGCTCTCCTTAGCAAAGTTTGCACAATGTGGGAAAGGGTCTTGAATGCATTGGAGTACCAATCCAACAAGGTCCAATGATCGACCTAATCAATTGAAATTGCATCCCATGCTCTTATTCTTTCTCATTGCCCTATACCCATGAGAAGAAGGTCTGGATTTGGGGTTTCGTGGTATGATTATGCAGTTCAAATCTAAAGAGCGTGGTGCCTTAGTTCGCAAGAATGGAACTCAAAGAAATTGTGGGGGCTCGCACAAGTAGTGAATCATATGATGTAATTCGATTCAAAATGAAGAACCTTACCATAGCTTTGGTACAATGTGAGTCCTTGTAAAAGAGAAGAGTGTCTGATGAATGCAAACTCAAACGGTGTATGGTTGTCCACACAGTCCCTGCTTCAGTCACTGGGGTAGTTACCACCATTATGCGAATACTGAAAGAAAGAAGAGCTGAACCTTTCAGAGCATGCCATTTAGTGCTCCTCCGAAGGTCAATCAAAGGCTACACAAGTTGCTCTTAGATATAAACCTGCTCAACTCTCCACTCTCAGGAACTTCCAATCAAGTAAAGAGTATATCATCTCGTCGAATCCAGCAACAGTCTCCCCTTGGGCCTTGTCTCAAAGTAGCAGCAAAACAATGGATTAATGACAATAAGTCATGATCACGAAACTAGCTGTAAGACCATGAATCTGGCACTTACCATGACAACAAAAACGTCGAACTTTTTTCCACCAATTGTCGCTGGTGTTTTGGAAGAGCAGATCAAGAGGGTATGACACAAAATTATGGAATAAACCCACATAGTAGGACAGTATAATTTAATCAGTTATTATGTACACAAACAGAAGAAGATACAACAAGCCGATGTCAAGGATGAGGATTCTGAGCTCAATTAAGTTCAAATTCTCTTTACATCCACACTCTTCCTTCATTTTGAGCAACTGAAGACATCAAGACTGAAAAGGAGAAACTATAACAAGGTCGCTGCTTCTTGCATTTCATCTGCGTTGCCATTGGCTGACACTGCACTCTCAGGCATCTCAAACTGTAAACTTCCCAATCTGCTTGCTGCATCATGACAAAAAACTTAATCAGCCACATGTTCAGCGTCTACTGTAGTGTTCGACCAATAAGAATACATATCCAAACCATAACATATTGCCAATTCAAGAAAAACCACGTCATATTAACCTTTTCTCAGCGACAATTTTCACTTTATTAACGTCTGTCTGGTTAACAAAATTTTACCATTGACAGCAGTATGATCATAACACTAAGCTTGCAACATATGAGATGCCTATCACTAAGATAAAATGGATTACAGTGTGTACACAAGCTGATGTGTTTGTGGGTGATGGCAATGGGGGAGATGGTGCGGATGATGGTTAGGGAAAGTTGTACAGAGATGATGCAGGTGGTGAGATGACAACTGAATACTGGAGCAGCGTAGTTACAATAGAAATGATACAGCAGATGAGCAATGACCGGTGGGCTGCTGCGGGGCAGAAAAATTCAATTCATAGGAAATTAGGTTTTTTTCTCCCAAATTATACTGAACTGGGGAAATATTATAAAAATAAACCTTAACATACAGCAGAGACGTTGATGACACAAAATGAACTCGAACTAGATTCCACACCAGCATGGCTTTAAAAACACGTATGTAAGAAAACTGGACCATTGAAATATGCTGCTTGTTCCAACAATATACACAACATACTAACTAGTACATAAAATTAGTACATAAGTAGACAGAGCATCTCCAACAATATTAATATGACTATAAATGCACCCATACTTAGAGAATTTAGGTTCAGACTTCAGACCTATTAGTCCATATCATTCACAAGCAATCTTGGTGTCGAAGCTGCTAAGGCAGATGGCAAATGCCTGGAATGCAGATATCGGATATCGGTAGTCCATGGTAAACACGTCTTTCCCTACTTTCCCAAACTGGAGTATGACCTTATCATGTTCTGGCCCAGCCTGCCCATTCTGTGGAGAAGCCACTAACTGAAAGTTTTTAACTGAAGCAACTGTTACTCGTCCATGAAAATTCAAACACCAGCACTGGAGCTGCTCATGCCATCTGGGAGTTTTGTTTTCCAATACCAGGGATCCATCTCTCTGACCATCCAGATGTCTGGATAGAGTTTTCTCCAGGCGGGTTGATCTCGATCGAAAAAGGGGGAGTGTCGGAAAAGAATCAATGTTGCTAAGAGGAAACTCAGTTTGCGCTGGAAACACCCCTCCAGATGCAATAGCAGATGCTGGGATCGCCTCAATGATACAGTGCATTTTTCTTGGGCCCCTGCTTCACACATTAAATAATCCACTATCAAACAGTTTTACTTTTTGAAGCACTTACTGAAAAATAGTACTAAAAATTAGAGCAAAGCAGAATGACAGGAATTGCCCGTCAAATTTAGCTATTTTCTCACTAAACCATGGCATACATATATATATATACAGATAAATCATACACTAATTTACTAAGATTATTTGTTTTGGATTTGCTAGTCGCATACGCTCTTTTCATACCACTATCAAACAGTTTTATTTTGAGAAGCACTTAATGAAAAATAGTATTAAAAATTAGTGCAAAGCAGTATGACAGGCCTTGATCAAAAAAAAAAAGTATGACATGCATTGCCCGTCAAATTTAGCTATTTTCTCACTAAACCATGGCATATATATAGTTACAGATAAATCATACACTAATTTATCAAGATTATTTGGTTTGGATTTGCTAGTTGCATACGCTCTTTTCTTACCTGGATCCCAACACACTCTTCTTCTGGATATGCTTAATTTACCTCGAGTTGCATAAACTCTTTTCTTATGCACCCCTAATTGACATGAACTAAAGTGGATATGAACCTTTCTGAATAAGCTCCTCTTACCTGGATCCCAATACATTCAACTCATATGAAATGTGTGCGATAGGATAGTTGCCAGCAGGAACTCTAGGGGAAACTTGCTTTGAGCCCACTAACCTAGTGGAGTGACTCTTTGTCATTCTAGCTCCAGCATGAGGTGGCAAACCATCATATATTGTAAACTTTGTCCCCAGAAAATTTGATCTTGACAAAAGGATCACAAGGAATGGATGTTATTCGAGCACCTAAGGGAAAACAACATAAGTGATCCATAAATGATAAATCAGCTAAAACTTAAAACAAACCTCAATTTTCCAATATAAGTATTGCTCTTCTTTGACATATCATCAGCATTCAGAGAGATCATGTAGTCTGTATAGGTGGGATGCCGACACTTGCTAGCAGCAAGAAGAAACTTTCCATCTTCCGACAGTGCTATCACAAACATCAGATAAAAGCAAACAGGTAAGTGCTGTAGCACACAGAGTGGGCCACAATGAAAAGGGGACTTTCCTCCAAAGCCTCTCCACAAAAGAATGGAAGAAGGAAAATCAGTAATAGATTGTATTCCAGGGTGAAAATGGGCCATCAGGAAACACCAGATTAATGCAGGTGCCCAAGAAAACTTTTGGAAGATGATTCCATTTAAACAGGTGATCAAAAACAGAGCTGAGATTACAAATGCTCACCTTGCGATAGACTAAGGTAGAGATAATACGTTTGCGTAGCCCGGTTCCGCTTTATAAAACATTGGAGGAGAGACTCTCTTGGACCGGGCTGCAATCATATCCAGGGAATATGAGAATAGTTGAGAAGCTAAATCTTACAAATAAAAACAACCATAAAACCTTGATACTTCTAAGTAAAATATCCAGTGAAGATTTCAAAATTGCTAATAAGAAACAATATCAAGACATCTTTGGTTCACCATCATTAGTTTATAACGTAACACGCAATACTTGCCATCTCAAGAACAGCTAAAATTTTCAGAATGCAACACTTAAAAAGGAATATGTTACAAGAATAAAACATTCACCGAAAATGGAAACACTCATCAGAAAAGTAGAAGCTAACAATCATAGTTATCTAATTTTTTTGAAGCCATAGGTGGTGGCTGAAGGGGACCCATGCTATGTTTGCTTCATATACAGCTACTCAACACTTGAGAAACGAGCACAATTCACATGGTGATACTAAGCAAGCTCTGATACATAGTGCAGCTGCTCTAAAACTGAACGAAGGGAGTTCAGTGGTACGAGCAAATGCAACAAGCCCAATACAGTATCTAATTTAACTTCCCAGTAACAGAAAAAATGCACAAAGATTCAGCTTTACAAGGAACTTGAGGACATTACTCAATCAGAGCATATCGCTTTATGCTAATATCTAGAAGCACAAAAACTAAGCCTTATCTTATACACTTCCTCCCTCATATCAAAATGTTAATAACCAGCTAGCCTAGTGATGATTACACTTCGGACAAGGAGAGATGGCAGGGTACAACTGTACTCATTTCAAGGGAAATTCATGCTAGAATCCAATAACTTAATTCTACAAAGTAGCCAACAAACCATAAAACCAGACAAAGAAATTGCAAAAATCATCAAAACTACCACCAATCCTGAATATGCTATTCATGAATCACAATTACATAAAACAAACAAATAAAATCATCATTTTTTAAACCCAAAAAGGGCATTGAAAATCCTAATTTATAACATCAAAGGATCAACAAGTCAATCAAAATCCAAAAGCGTCTCAATATTCAGACCTGCTTAACAGAAACAGGAAACGTTAACTTCCCAGAAACCTCCGGTGTCCCCACGACTTCCTTCATGATCTCTCTCCAACTCCGGCACACTCCGGCACAGGCCACCACGTTTTTCCTCAATGGCCAACTACTCTCCGACGCCTCTATTCTCACCAACACCTCCCTCAACAACTCCGAAGGCATATTTGCCCAACTACTCTGCCCCAACCCATCATCCATCTCCGCCTCCATTGCCCCGACAACCACAAAACTGTCCTGAACCACTCGCCGAGACCTAGATCTCAACCAGTTGAACTTCATGTCTAGACCTTTTCTCGGAACTCCACCTCTATCAACCTTCGAAGACATCAATTGATTGTTCTTAATTCCTCATAAAATACACAAATCTTATCCAAATTTGCACAAGCATTAAGCTTCGTTACTTACAAAGCTTAATCCAATTTTTTTTTTTTAAAAAAAAAACCCAAATCACCAACAAATCATACACCTGCATAAAAAGACAGTGGTTTTGTCCAATCCGAGAAGATAAAAAGAGTTACTGATCTAATTTGGGAGATTTATAGAGATTTACGATGATTTCGAGATAAAGAAAATGGAGGATTCCCAGGTAAACCGCAACGAATTGGGAAATCTCCATTGGCCATGATACTGGGTTTTGTTACTTTTGTGTGTGTGTGTGTGTGTATATTTATGTGTGGGTGTGTGTATATATATAAATATATATACATATATATATATATATGTAGAGAGAGAGAGAGAGAGAGTCCTGGTTAGAGTGCTGTTTGGCTAAATAAATATTGGGTTAGTACCACTCTGGAAAAGTCTGTCATTAATTGATTTGGTCCTTTTGTCATGTCATCACTTATCCTCTGTCCTAATCCTTTCTTCACTAACCATTTAACATTTTAGAGAGTTGTATTTTTATTTTTATTTTTTATTCAATAAAAATATAACACATATAATTTTTTTTTTTAATAATTAATAGCTATGAATCAATTAAACTAAAATTCACGGATTATAAATCATCATGGTCTCATCACGGTGAATCCAAAAAATTTTGCGTTGGTTATTAGCTACCTAACACAACCCTCCTCTTTTATCTTGATTTAAGACAGACAATAAATCAATTTTGATATTATTTAGAGGGACAGACACTTAATATCACTTTAAATTTAAAAATTGCATTTTTCTTCCTAAAGTATTGGTAGGTTTTGTTTTCTACATTCGAGAGATGATCAACCATAATTCTTACAAAATAATTTTAATTAGGAAGTCGAGGGTCAATCATTGTCAAATATAAGAATTAATATAAGATTTTATCGTGGTGTATCAAAAAATACTAATAGATAATTAATTAGGAAAATAAATAATATGATTTGAGTCCAATAACACTCTCAACCATTTATAGTCTATTTGTCTCACATGATTGAAGAATTACAAAGATAAAATCATTGAGGGTAATCTTAATAAATATCTCGAACTAAATGGATTTGTGATCATTTTTTTTTCTTGGATTCAGAAATAAATTGTTCGATTGTTACCAAAATTATCTTTAAAACCTTTAATGAATTCCCATCAAAAAATAAATTCTAATTTAATTGATATATGAACTGAGAGATCAGTTCATACACTTGGGTTTGTCCTCAGTTCTACTTGAACTTACGAATTTGAGTGACTAAAGCACTTCTATCTCGTCGAGGACTGGCCACAAATTTCTCCAATCATCCAAAAATTAAAAAAAAAACTTCAATGTGAGCACCTCCACTCATATTGGGGGAATTCACAATCCTAAGTGATGGACAAACTTTTTTTTAGGTGAGTGATGGTCAAAGTTTATTAATTATTTTGGTTCAAGTCCTAAGTAGTGGAGGGAGATTTATTTTTTTTGGTTAAGAGATGGTCAAAGTTATCTCACTCATAAACCTCACAATATTCACCAAAAGCTTTTTTTTGTTGTTTTTTTTTTTATCAAATATTTAGACTTACACTAACTATTTCTTCAAATTCAGTGACTGTCACCGAATATTCACTGTCTATTGTTGTCATTGTTGTCTTGTGTTTTATGTACATTCTTTGTTTTTAAGGTTAATTTACTAGTTTTATATATCATTGTCCTTGATTTATCATCAAAGAAGGAGACAGATTAATCTTTGACATTGACAACTAGAATTACAAACCAAAGAAACAGCCATAAACCATGAGCTGTTCCTGGTTTTTTCCTATGACATCCTATGACATCCTTTAACTTCACAAACTAGGTTCTATCGACACCCCGTGATCCAAAAGGGCATACTTCATTAACTCATACTATTCTTGAAAGAATCTTGATGGTTAAAAAGATAAACCCTATGACACAATAATTCTAATAACCTAAGTTTTGAATCAACAAGGACTTGTATCTTGTCATGCATCAAATAAGATAGTATACATCTAGTACTCTCTAAATCTTAGTGTGATACAAATAAAGTAACGGAATTGTTGTTTATAGTCATTTGAAAAAAATAAAGGAAAACTCTCCAGTACTGGTGTTGTGGATTATTATTTTTTATGGTAAAATTATAACTTTAAAAAGAAAAGTTACAACTATTTAAGAGAATGTCATGATCAATCACAAATATTATGATTGATCATAAACTTTTGGTATCGATATCAATTTTTTATGAACGATCTTACCGTTTAAAATTATAACTTGTACATAAAAAAAATTGTAACTTAACTCTAAAAAAATGTAATTTAAGAGGCGATACCGCCGGAGGTATCGTACCTCCCCCCCAAAAAAATAAAATTTGGAACTTTGGATTTTAAGTTTTGCTAATTTTGGTCAAATTAAATTATCAATTTTAAAATTTATTACATCTCATCGGTGTCGATGGACATTCTTTTGGGTCATTTGTGGGTGATTTTATCATTGTTGTGATATCGAAGAAAAATAATAAAAATAGTTACTACAATATTGGTAAAAACATCAATAAATATGGTAAATTACCCACAAAATAATATTTTTTTGTACAATAAAATAATTAAAATATTTATCACAACAATAATCAAAACACTCATAATAGTGGTAAAAACACCCACAAACAGTAAAAAATTACATATAAAAATAATAAATTTTTTAATTATAAAATATTCCATAAAAATAATAAATTTGAAAAGTACGGTATTAAATTTTTTTCAGGTACAGTAGTCAATCCCATAACTGTAGGCCAACTTCACTAAATACTATACATACATTCACTTTAATACAGTTTTAGTCCACATCAACAAACGTGTCACTAAGGTCAAGGTGCGAAGGTGGGCACAAACTAGGAGGCTGTACCGAGTACTATGACACCGTAGGGCCAACGGTGGCACAAATGGAAAGGCAATGTTTAAGGGTTTTGTTTTATTGTTGTGGAGGAATTACATTTTGCACCCCAAAATTTTTAAGAATTCTTATTTACATCTTTAAAGATTAATTTTTTTATATTACATTATCGTTGTATTAATAAATATTATTTTAATGTGATCACTTTGATCATTTTCGTTGCTTATTTCATACGTTGACAGAATGAGCAATAGACGCTAACGGAAATGACACGTTATAATATTTTTAATATATTGAGAATGTAACATAATAAAATAAATTTTTGAGAGTAAAAAATAAAAGTTCTTAATACTTTTGGTGTATAAAGTGAAATTTTTTCTATTGTTTTCTTACTTTTTTTTAATTGGCCGGCACTATTATTACGAAAAAGGTGACAACCAAATTCGAACATATAACCTTAAGATCCCACAGAAAAAGATAGTAATTATTTGGCCAACCACATACCTCATTATTTTTCTTCCCATGATAGAAGGAGAATGGAATACATTGAAACTTAGGCACAACATCCTCATCCTAAGTAATTATTGTCCACAAAAGCATGGTTGTAGCAAGTTTTAAGGATTTTGAAGTAAAATAAGTTAGATCTGTTTGGACCTTGACTTTTTTATTAACTTATGCAACAGTTTTTTAGACCCAAAAAATTTTATTTCGCTTGATTCAAACTGTTAATTTCATGAGCTTTTCTTTACGCTATTTAGAGTTTTATTGCAGGTCTTACATAACTTTTTAATTTATTGTATTAATAAAATATTATTAGTGACTTAAAAATATTTGAAATTCATATTTTGAAAACTATTATGCATAATTTATACATACATATAATTATTTTTTTATTTTACCACAAAAAATTAAAAAGTTTCTTCAAACGAATTTTTTCAATTTTTTTAGTTTTTTAAAAAATATTTCAAACAGTTTTGGAGGATTTTTATAATTTTTATTTTTTTATAAAACTTTTCAAATCATAATTTTTTACTTAAAAAAATCAACTCCAAATTAGGCCGATACTGTAACATCGTGCTCTCTCTCTCTCACATACACACACAGCCACCCCAAATTCTTTCACATGCCTTTGCAACTTACGCTTATCAAATCGAATCCTCCACACCATAGAGTTCAATATCAGCATATATCACCAACAAAGTTTACATAACGTCAAGGGAATAATAATATATTTTTAATTATAAACGTGAAATAAATGTAATTGCAAAGTTGACCGGTCCACCTGTAAATAAAAATCTCCACTTCATTCTTTTCAAAACTAGAGGCATCGCAACCATCCTGAACGAAAGATGATGGCTACGGCATGATAAGATTCTGTAGTACGAACCCATCCATCAAGCCTTTTTAAAGCTTCTTAACACACGTGTTCAAGCCTACCAAATATTCCACGCATAGGTTAGTTAAATTCGATTATACCAACGGTCTTTAGTCTAATAGAATTTTTTATTTTGTGAAAATTATATCGTTTTTAAATTAAAGGTTCCAACCTCTTTTTTCCTCTCTCTCCTAATATATATGTATAAGAGGTTGAGACTTGGATGTTTACTTCATGGGAAATTTTGAATAGTTGTTTTCATACTATTTTTATTGAAATTACACTTATTATTTTTATAAATCGAACACTAATTTCGAGAGGATTTTGTTATTTTTTTTATATTCAATGATGGATTTAACCTACACTTAAGAAGAAATATATATATATATATATATATATATATTTTAGGTTTTGGGTGTTTCTTTTCTGGAAATGTTTAATTGTGATGTTGAATTTTTTCATGGTATTTTCACTTGAAATAACATTAACCATTTGTTTTATATATATATTAATAAAATAGAATTGATTTTGAATCCTTAAATTACTCTACTACAAGAGTGACCGAGATTTATTCATTGTAATAACTCAAAATTATCCTTAAAAAATTTCTTCTCCAAACTTAAAAAAACTCCTATCAATCTATATTTTTTCCCTCTAACCAAGGTCAGATTAAGTCTTCTCTTTTTTATTGTATAATTATAAGAAAGACTTCTTAAACTTTAATCTTAATTTTGCAATGGATGTTATTTTTTTAATTATTAATTTTCTTTTATATTAAATCTTGCCTTTAAATATGGACAATTTCTAGTACAACAATAGATTAAAGCTCACACTTAAAAGGGGAAAAAATCGACATACAACTGGTGAAAATCTCAATTCACGTGTCTAGGATGACCCGCTACTTGATCCAATCGGACAAACTTTTTTGCTCCAAGGTAGGAATATATCGAACTCTGATTCACTTATAAAACCACCTCTCCTGTAACTTTTGCAAGAATAATTTGTTATATAATGTGTTTTAAACAACAAATTAGGTAAATGCCGGCAATGCAAAAGGCCAGCCTGTGTAACAAATATCTTATCATATTTGTAGGTCTCTTGTTAGGCAGCTGTCATCTCTCATTATGTATGCATGTTCTAGCACACGCACGTGTGTGTGTGTGTGTGTGTGTGTGTGTTTGAGAGAAAGAGAGAGAGAATCAAATACCACGTCCCCACAAAACAGCACCCTCTCGCACTAATGAAAAATATCTCTGATTAAACATAAAAAAGAGAACACAAGATTAAAGTATCCAAATGCAGCAGGCAGACAAGAAAAGGCATTGATACCACCATTGCCACAGCAGAATGCCAAAAAGTGAATGGCAAAACCAAGAAAAAGAGCTCTCTCTCTCCCCCCCCCCCAAAAAAAAAAAACAAAAAACCCCACCCAACAAAAGAAAACCAACAATCACCATCCACCCCAAAACCTTAAAAAATCCAGACCCAAAAACAAAAGAGAAAAAAAGTATAAAATCAAAGAAAGGAGAGCAGGAGATAAGCCAGTCCAGTTTTACAGAGAGAGAGAACCCGGTCAAAGGGCATCCTTCTACCTGGACCAGCCCCATGGGTACCTTCCACCTCCATCGCCTTCACTTCGCCACTATATAAGCATATTATGCGGGAAAATAATGGAGTCTGAATTATAGAAACAACAAATTGATTGATCATTGAATAGGAGCAACAAGGCACACCCACCAAACCTCCAATACCCAACAATTGGATGCCACCCACCTGATATTGAAGACAAATAGACCATAAAATGTGCTACAAAGTAAAGTCCCTTTCATGCAAGTTGGGATTTGTTTGTTATCCAAAAGATGCAGAACTTGAGGTCTAGAAATGATATTTCTAAGGAAAACTAAGGTTTGTGTATATCTATATTCTCTCTAGAAAAATGAAAAAGTACTCAAGCACACCAACAACCATTGTAAACCAAACCAACCCCCAACACCACCACCCCACCCCAAAAAAATAAACTCTTAACCAGGAAAGAGTAACCAATACCTTGAAAAACTTCTAAGTTATATGTTCGTCGTTATCACAAGGTAAATAAATATTCTAACTTCATGGAAGGTCATCAACATCATGCTGCATTTATCAGACACTTCATTTCCTATAACTGACAGACATCATGAAAGAAGAAGAGCCAGTAACTAGTAGTTCACCATTGCGGGGCGGGGCGGGGCGGTGGACAGAGAGACTTTTGCCTCAACTCCAATTTAATCAGAGGCAGAGCAATTCTATAACTTGTTTTTTTCATCAAAAAAAAAAAAAAAAAAAGAAGGTAGCTGTCCAGTTTGATACGTTGCTGGAATGAACATTGTCCCGTATTTTGCTTTGCTAATTTTGATGTAAAATCCTACCCTCACAAGTTGGGGTAAAAAAAGATCACCTTTGCCTACCAAAAATTTCATCCAGAATTCCTATACAACAGGAACACTTCCTTTAGGCTGCTGCAGGGTCCCTAGTGGCCTTCCTACAAAACCAAAGACCCTCAATGAAGTGAAAAACTCACTCTCCATTCTGAAGATTACGCCAGTACATATGAATTGTTCCAAAAAACAGTGAATAAATTAAGTAATATTACAGTTGCTAGATTACCTGGGTTACCTGCAAAAGAGTATGGTTTTGAAAGATTATTGCTTTGCATCATTGCAACAGATGTATGAGGACCTATGACATTATTCACAGGAAACTGGTTTGACAGCTTCATGGCTGGCGGGTATCCTCCAGATTTACCCAAGTATACTGCCGAACTTTGGGTAAGAAATTGATCAGCAGGAAACTGTTTTTGTCTCTGTCTTTTCCAAAACCAAAAAGAGCTTCAATTGTTGTTATATGATGTAGAAATATTATTGTAGTAGATATAAAAATGACTATTAATTTGTGTTGGCTCTCAAAACAGAATTTAAGCACGCACCTCCATCACAATGTAGAGGCATTTATATGATACGCTGTTTTAAAGAATGTCACAATATACAAGTACAAATGCATGATCATTTTATCATACCATTAAATGGCATAAGATGTAAAAATAAGTATGATGCATTGACTAATTTTTCTCACTGAATTTATTTAAAATTTGTACATCATCAATCTGGCATGATCGATGATGTGTTTGGAGTGAAGAATTTAATGCTATTATAACATCTATAAGGTAAAAAGAGAACAAGGATGTGTGTTGGAAACGGTGAATTGGTGGTGAGTCTCTTCTGCAGCCTCACAATATTGAATTAATTATTGGTCCAAAACAAAGTACCTAGCCTCTAGTTTTCTTACGAATCTAAGAGCATACAAGACTTATCATCAGGGTGTAAACACTAATTCCTATTTCACAAAAACTGAGTTCCACAAAAGAACACAAGCAGAAACCAGTGAAGGGACAAACAAGTGAGACATGCTTTTGCAACTATCCTTGTGTACAATAAGTCATCAGTTGAAACTTCTCTAGTTCCTACCCTGTTCAACTTCGTTGATGGATAGAATCCCAGCGAAGGTGTTGACGTTAGGACAAACATATGGTGATGAGATCATTATTGAGGGGAAGGAACTCAAAACATCCTCTGAATCACAAAGGAAGAACTTATTTACTAGGAATTGGAAAACATATTATAGAATCAGAGTAAAGAGCGACAAAATAATCATCATTAGGAGAGTGAAGAAGCAACTTCTTTTGTGCATGCATCACTGGACTTTTTCTTGAATTAAGATACCTAAAAGGAAACAATCTGCAAGGCGAATCCTAATTTCATGTTAACATCATGACTTGAAAGCATAATCAATTCTTGGAAGACTCTGGGATTTATCAGTTCACAAGCTCTGTCTCTGTAAGTGTATTGTAACTATGTGTCTTACAGAGACAGACATAACAGAATGTGTAACTTGTACAATTTATGGTAGCTTCAGATATGTCAAAGATGTCACTTGCTACTTCCCCCTCCTTTCTTTCCCACCAAAACCCAAAAAAGAGGACCAAAATATATATATATATATATATATATATATATATATATATATATGAAGAAAAAGATCAAAATGTTGTATTTCCATGTTTGCTTATACTAAAAACATGACACTTGATAATCCACTGCATGATCCAGAAGGGGATTCACCATTCTACTAAGCAGTGAACATAAGTGACAAACCTTTTCCTGCTGGTTATTTCTTTGTTCATGAGATAACTTGGTTGGAGTTGAACTCCATGATGGCATTGCATTTCCCTTTAGCAAGTCACCGCAATGTTCCTTAGTTGATGCCTGGTAATATAGATGAGTGAGTTCACATCGTAGCTGATGGTTTCTTTGAGAGTAGAACATTTTGGTCGCCAGGGGAACTGGAATATCTGATTTTGTGTCAACCAAACCATCAGACACATGGATAGAAAGAAATTTTCATGAAAGTCCAGTCACTTAAATTTTCTGATTTTCAGTTATTTATTTTGAGAGACATGACCTTTCAATTTTTTGCAACGAAGGTAATCTTAAGGAATGAGCAGATTGGGTCACAGCAATAAATGATACCTTTGGCCAGTGAGCAATAATCATGGACTTGCCTAGGCATTTGAATTTGATCCTCATGATCATGAGTCTTTTCGCTTCCACCACTTGATCTTTTGGGGTACTCTCTGCCTGAACAAATGAAAAACAAACCATATATGAGTACAAGCAGCAGCATCAGAACATGGAGCAAATTGGTGATCACCATATACAGTGCCATTATCTGAAGCAACTAAGAATTAGACATTAGAATTTGATAATTAAAAAAAAAAAAAACAAAATTTAGGTCATACATAAACATCTTCCGACAGGAACAGATAATCCAGAAATATCACTGGTTTTCCCACGAAGGAGGGGTTGACAAGGTATATATGTTTTTATGGAGCAGAATCGGGTGGGACAGATGAACCCAAAAAAATAAAGAAACTAACAGTAAAATGAATTCAATTGAAGGGAAGCAATAGATGGCACCAATTGAAGATGAAGAGAGGCACGATATATACTGGGTTCGCATTGGCAAAAATAACACAGACTGCACCCATAGAACTGTCTGAAGTATACTCTGAAGTCTCAAATTTGATAGAGATCTGAGTTTAAGAAGCCTAGATCTGATGGAAGGGATATCTAATGCAGTCAAGCACACACCCCAAGGAGAAATGAGATATATTTGTGGGTATTAGTGAAAATAAGCCGAGCTGACCTGAATACATAGCTGCTCAAGCTCTGCTCGTTCTAAATATCAAAACATACTCAGATTCAGTTCAAGCATGGTTGCATTTTTTGGATTATTGCTCAAGTGCGGCTTGGCTCAGCTCAGTAACTCAAACCAAGCATCCAACATGTGACTGTACGACCCATTCCGTCACTGCAGCTGTTGGATTGGCACCATGGGTGCACTCATTCCAGCTGTGTACAGTAGTGGCACAGTACTTTGCTACCCACACGTATCCCCAGCTTCCTTTTTCCAGGTTCTATGACATTAACTGACCCATCAAATAAAGAAAAGCTGCAATCATCATAAGACCATGACTCTCATCTCTCTCCCTCCCTGATCTCTCTTTCCCCATAAAATTTAGGTGGCGACGAAGAATACTGTTCCGAATTACTTGGCACAAAGTGTATACAAATAACACATAATGTATCCAGGATACAACTCAACTTTACTCAACAAAGTCTTGTCCCAAAGGACAGCATACCCTCAAAACGCGAGATATATGAGGGTGACATAACCTCCATGAAGGCAAAATAAAATTTTGTAAATTACACAAGGCAGTTAACAATCATAACATGGTAGGACTTGTAGCTAGTTAATTTATGAAACCAAAACTCCATGATTAAAAAAACCAACCAACAAACTACAATACAAATTTTTATAAACTCATTACCTTTCATACAGCATAGTGTTGGCCTAAAACTTATGTGCCAGCATAACATCTCCACATGTTATGTAGTTTTTCCAACAAAAATGAATAATGGTATCAAAGACAAAGTTCACAACTTAAAATTTCTTCCAATAGATATATTAACACAAATACCTTTATATCAGGGAATATGAAAGTGCTGAAGTCAAAACTCTAGTCTTTAATATAAATCATCATGAGTCACTGGAGCATTACAAGCTAAACAACATTAACAAAGGGGGGGAAAAGAAAAGAAACAAAACAAATAAGAATGTTTCATTATAGTAACTAGAACCTTGGTTAGTTCCAACTAGAATGTCTTCAAGCACAGGGAATCCACATAAGAAGCAACAGCTTAAAATAACAAAATATGATGTATTCATTGAACGCTTTAGCCTTGCCTAGTTAAATTATTTAACTTGCAGCTTGCACAAAGGGTATGCGCACTTCCTAGTACAAGTTGCCTAATATGGCAATTGGAGGATCAGATATCATAAATCTAAAAATAGTAAAATAACTAATATTCCATCCAAAGTATAATAATTTCAATTTTCAAACACTACATCAACATATTGAGGGGGAACAAACTTGTGACTATCAAGTAACAGACTACCTCTATGCCATGGCAAATCATGACCAGAAAGCAGAAATGCTCAGGAGCAAACACTATGAACAATAAAATTAGGCATAAAAAACTGACGAGGATATTTCCAAAAAATTATATAAATTTGGGCAAAAGGACGATACGTTTTGATTCAAAGGCAAAGGAAGATGTCGACTGAATTTGCTCAATATCATTGCCGTCAAAAGATACAGACCTTTCTTGTTCTCGTACTGATGTAGCTAGGTATGGGAAGTAAAGGTTAATACATCATCTTTCAGCAAATAGATTGATTGAAGTAAATACAAATCAAAGACATCCATCTCAGAAACCATTACGATGATTTGTCAACTCAAACAACAAAGATGTTACCTAAAGACAGCATTAAATTTGGAATAATTAAACTTCTTCTTGTTAAAAAATTGATGTGTCAAATATTCTTCCAAAAAAATAAAAAGGATACCAGCATAAGCAGTTGATGACTTTTTCTTCTCCTTCCTAGGAGGCTTCTTGTGACCCGTACCACCATCAAGCTCCGATATACCTTCTTCCGCAAAATTTAATGACTTGCAAACCTCTGGAAAGAAGAGAATGAAAGTATCCAATTCAGCAAGGCGCCGCCACCATCGGCAACCAGTGTCGGAAATTGCAAACTACTTAGGATCAGAAACCTCTTAGCTGGAACCATATATAGAACAAAATAAAACCATACAAAAGGACAGTATATAACAATTGGGGGTTCCCCCAGGGTATGCTACTTGCTGCAAAATTTTGCTTGTCAATAGAGGAAACAATGCTGCATCAAAATTAAAGGGATACTTGTGACGGAATCATTATAGCAATTCAAAGACAGAATTTGCCAGAAAATGCAAATCAAATTCGTGTCATCATGTCACCTGAGATTATTTTGCATGCAACAAAAACTGCTTTGGCACTAACCCTTCCTTCAAACAATGCCAGATTATATTTTGGTTTAAAATATCATTCTTTGTGCTTGATTCAAGTAACATTAGCCAGGTCTTGTATCCTCTGAATCCTGTTTACGCAGATTGCAGATTATATAGTCCAGCCAAGTGTCAGATGAAGTTTAATAAAATTATAGATTTTTGTTTGGAAGGTATAAAATTGAATTAAGTGTTAGTTTGTTTCCAAACAGCTGAATTATGTATATGCAAAGTTATGGACATGGAAGGATGATGGTGTGGATATCACAGCTAGGATTTCGGTTGGATCATAGAATCCCAAAAGACTTGAACGCTTCTGAATAGTACTTGGATCATAGAATCCCTCATAAATAAATTCTAAACTAACCTCTAAATGGAAATAATTACATGACCACTTAAATGCTTCTAAATAGTACTTACTCTAATAACAATTTGACCCCATATTTAGGCATCCACTTTGATAGGAAAAACTTTTATAACCTAATGAGGAGTCGACACTAGGAATTGGATGCCTAAGAAATCTGAAATTTCAAAGCTAAACTTGACTCCAAAAATGAAAAAAAAACAGATATAATACTCACCAAGAGCCCACTAACCTAAGCTAATCATCACGCATGTCCTTTGTCACTTTCTCTTCTCCCTATGTACAACATTCCCAAAAGTATGGCAGCCACTTTATTTCAACTTTTATAGAATTTATGCAGAAACTAGACAACTGTCCTGTTTATCCTCCTCATACAGATGTTTGGTTAATGAAAATTGTGGACATCACACCACCATTACTTAAAGCCCTAAAAGGGAAATAAAAGAAAGAAGCAGAAAAAATGAAACCTGCATGAGCAGCATATTGGCTGGCCTTGACTGGCTTCTTACAAGCATTGCAACACACCTTCAAACAATATTGAAAAATAAATAAAATTTGTCAAAGCTAAGTGTTAATTTATATGTCTGTAGAGAATAAGGGATTGATGCTTTGCAAAATTTATATGCAAAGTTTCCAATTAGTCAGAGGAGTTGATGCACTATGTAAGCTGACAAAGGCAAATTTTTCCTCATACCTACAACCAAAATACTTTAAACCAAATGATACCATTCCGATAAGATGTCATACAAGGGAGACAACAAAGGATACTCAGCAATAAGGATAGCATAAACTCCTGTTATTTATGATCCATGATCAAACTTTCGCCAAATGAAACCTTTTGCAAGATTACATGGTTTTCAAGCTCAAACTACATCCAGCGACAAATCTCAGACCAAACGGATAGAGGATGGGACTGGCGTATTAAAATAGGACACTCCACAATCTAAGTCAATTTTATAACCATACATGGAAGAGAATCTTTAAATTTATTTATACATATATATAGCTCCAAGGGGTCACATCTGCAGGAAGTGCACCTATACAAGACATATTTTCTCAACACAACATCCCCAAACCAAATGACATTACCATTCAAAAATTTACAGTGGAAACAGAAGACTCTCCAAACCTTACCAAATGCAAAGGATCTGTCATAGGCCTCAAGTCAAATATATGCATATCTGCAACAGAAAATCATCAAAGAAGTCGAAAAGTCATAAACTCAAGTAATGTGGAAGTGCTGGCCAAGAATTATAGCCTGATACCCACTTTGGTGCAGTAACTGCAGGAATTACTGGCAGCTTGATTTTCTACACTAGTATCTTGGCCACCATTCTGTACGCAAGGCCAATAACCAGACCCAATCATTGCCTTGGTGAAGCGAAGGAACCTGGCAGGATGCACTGCCACAAGTTTCCACATTGTAGGAAGCATAGATACTGCCCAAAACTCTGTTCCGTGTAAGTTTTAGGCTCCATGGGAATTTTGGGGGCTGCTCCTAATTATAATTTTCAAGTTGGCTTCAAGAAAAATTATGGTATTCCAGTTTTTTTAATGCCTATGTTAAATGGATTGTACTCCACCGTCTCTTAGTCATATATTTTCTTTTCATCTCATCTAGATTCCTCATCCATATATACCACATTTTACGTTTTTACCTTCTTTCTTGTACTTCATGCATTGTCTTTGCCTTGTATTTCTCTTTTCTTATCTAGAGAGGTACGAAACTCTGAATAAAGGTGGACATATTTACCTTCTTCGTCGAGAAGATTCGCTTCATCTGCTTCACGCAATTCTCTAAGAATGTATTGTGCTGCTAATTTCTGGTGACCAACTTCCTCTGCCAAAGGGGGGTATTGGTTGATGATGTTACTAAATAAGTAAGATAACTAAGATTTTCCAGGGTAAAAACAGCATAGCCATTTATGTTTGTTGCAAATTCTAGTTTTCATCTCTCCTGAGAGATCCTCATTCGAAATAACAGAACATATGGGATATTATCCAGGGTATTTTATATGAACCGCCTGTCTTGGAAATCTTAGAATTTCCACTCTAAACCAAAGTGAAAAAAAAAAAAAAATTTATCTCAAATTTCCATTAATAAATCAGAATTTTTTGACATTTTTCAAGCAGACACAACATACACAGCTGTGGATGTGAGAAAGGCATGAGTGCATGATTTGGTGTGTGCGAGTGTTTATGTGGCAGAGAGAGAGAGAGAGAGAGAGAGTCAACGGCGACAACTTACAAAAAACTGTTCTCTCAATTATGAATTCACTTCAAAGCAAAAATTGAAAGAAAAAAAATGAAAGAAAGGAAAGGAGAAACAACAAACAAACAGAGGGCTTTAACGTGCATGTGTGGGTGTGCTTTATGCTGAGGCTGGGCTGGTGTAGATGTATGACCCAATTTCCTGCAACATCATTTTAAGGACAAATACATCTCAAGAAGAACTTATTAGCACAAAAGAGACAGCATGATACCTATTCTTGTTCTGCATTAACTGAGGCATTGGGTAACTAATCCTGTTTCTCCTTTCTACTAGTGTACAGCCATATTTATCTGGAATGCTACCAAGTTTTCCCATCTTACCCACAATATTTCAGTCTTCCTCTCCTAATATATTCATATAATATTCACTACAAAACTGTATGCGTATTCTTCTGCCCTTTCCATAAACACCCAAGTATTGTGCTTGAATATTTTTCAGTTCTTTCAGCTCTTTCATGCTGTATTTGGTAACTCCATGTTGAAAACATATCTTCCGCATATGATTTAGCTACAAGTAAATTTCAAGGGTTTGATACTAGCTCATACTCCTAGGCCCACAACAGTTTATGTATCTCCTTTTACCTGCAACATTTTGCGAGACACTTCCTGATGCCAGAAGCCTTGCCATGGCTGCCATTTTCCCACTCCCAAGTGAGCATACCATTGATACTCAGATAATCTGCACACATGTGAACTGTTTACAGTAGATAAAATGCTTGCACTCATATAGCGTGCGGTGTAAGTGATACATCTCACAAATTTTGTCTAGAGAAAGGATTAGAAACTACAACGCAGAAAACCAACACAACAGCCTACCACTACCATATTTCCATGGAGATTTATTAATATTTTTGAAAGAAAAGAACAAAGAAACAAACACAGCAATAACAAAAAATCAAATAAAGAAGGCCAGGTCGCCACAAGAGCACATCAAACCAAAGAATTGTGAACTTGGGGCAAAAAATAAATCCAACAGAGCCATACCATCAAGAGGGAGAACTTCCAACAGCAATCAATTGTCAAGCCCAAGAAAACCATTGATTTGACAGAAATTAGCACAGTTGCAAAACATGAGCACAACTAAGGCATCTCAATTCTCAAATCATCCAAGCCCAACCCAGCTTCCTGGGATTGGGTTGTTTGGATGGCTTTTGTGGCTCGAGTACAAGGAGTATCCATCAGATGGAGTCAAGTTTTTTGGCTTCTTGATGGGCATCAATTACCAAAGAATTGAGGGATATCCTTTTGAAAAATACCAATATTACCCTTCTAGATTCCACATATATTTGAACTTGTTGCCAATAAATCATATCTGTGTGCCAATAAATCATATCTGTGGTATACACAGATTATACTTATTTCCAAATAAACCAAATTATGTACAGTTACATCCTCTCTCAATACCCTCCAGTTTTTTCACCAGTCTCTCTCTATCTCTCTCCAACCTTCACCATCCTTCCCCATCAACACTTTCTCTCCGCAACAACCTTCCACCACCCTTTCTACAACTCTCTCCCTCTTTGCCTCCTCGCCATTGAAACAGAAATATGCCACTGATAACATCTCCCTCGACGCTACTCTGCAAAGATCCTCACCACCATAACTGTCCCACCCCAAACTCCGACTAGTGCACCCTAAAACCAGGCACCCTTCATCGAACACCCCCAAAAGGGCTATATCCCCACAAATTCTCCTCCCTATCTAGAATGCATATCCACCATTCAACTCCACTGCCATATGAAACCCAAAGCCATCCTCCAACTCAATAACCACCGAAAACCATAGCTCAGTTAAGCACCACCCCAAATATTATATCCACCATCAATTAACAAATACCAATTGCATTCATCAACTACCAAATAAATAAATCAAATTTGGAGGACTCATCATCAAAAATAACAACCACCACCCCCCCTACAACTAGTGCCTCAAACTCAAGTTTGATTAAATTGGCAGTTTTCTATATAAATTCAATTCTGATTGGAATGGTGTTTGTTGAAGTGGGTCGGTTAGACTAATTTAATTTACTAGGTGTGCATATGTGATAGAACTCCAGACTTGATAAAAGCCAGACAGATGGTGGTTTTTTTTTCTCTCCATTTCACAACGTGTCCATGGCAAATAGTATAGGGTTAATTTTCAAGAGGACTTAATTATTTTGTGGGAGGGAGCTAGAGGTGGAGGAGAGAGAGAGTGACGGGGAGAGTAATTTGTTTTTGGCAAAAGAGGCTGTAGTGGTGGAGTTATGTGATGTGGACGGGGCAAGGTTGTTTAGCTGCTAGTGCCTAAAATCTTTAAGACAATTATGTTGCATTGATGGATTGTTGACTCTGAAACCAATAAAATCCAATTTGTATACAATTTAAACTCATAATTCAAAGAAAGGTTTCATTGTCAATACAGTGTCTACTCGGAAAAAAAGACAGGCATCATGGACTAGGGAGTTCGATTTTCTCTAGGAGTCTAGTTGTTATTTGGGCAAGTCCCTGGGGAGGTATATATAACTTAACCCTTTCTTGTTTATTCATCGTAATTGGAGTGTGACGTGTGGTTACAGTGGCTGGTGTTGGCTATTTGTTACTTTTATTATAGTTTTTCTTTTTTCTGTTTTATTGTACTAAAGGATGGTAACAATAAAAAGTTTTGTTTATTCTCTATGAAAAACGGAACATGGTATCATAAACACAAAACTATATAAACTCGGGTCACCAACAAGGTCATAACGGCGTCGAGATAGTCACCCGGTTAACTAAATACATAAGGTCCATGGTTAAAAATATCGTCCAATACCAATACAATTCGGTTGAGTTATAATAGACTTGACACCTTCCATTCCAAAGTCGTTGCACATTCTATGAAACTACAAATCTCACACAACTTGATCGAACTATCCAAGACATCTCTAAATCGTTGGTTGGCTCTTGTTTCTTAGCGACCCCTTTCTTTCTCTGTGTGCATCATGTCACTTGAAGTTTAGTTCTAAGACACTTATGTCTACGACCCTTTGATACTATACCTAATTATATAACATATGTCCAAGATCACTTGAAGAGTCCTCTCATGATGAGTGATGGATTTCTTTAGCATGGTTGGTAATAAGTATTAGGGATACAATCAATCTTAAATGATTATGGTTCGATATGTTTTCAAATGCTTACATTAAACATTTATGATCGCAAATATTTTTCATAGCGCCCTTATCATTCCTTTTTACAATGGTTAATGTGTTAGATAATGGATTTTGGACTACAGCACTTATGTAAGAATTTTTCATGATTATTTTGAAATTTTTTGGGCTTCTATCTAGAATTTTGGATAACGATCGATACCATACCACAACATCGCAACCGAGTATAAGATCGATACCGCGACCTTAAAGCATAACCGATAAGCATCAGTACCCTCTGAATTGATGGTCCATATAGTGACTTTAACCATGGTACGGTTAAATGGTTGCTTTTGTGGAACATGCATTGTATAGGTGAAACCCTTACAATCTAGAGGTATAGATCTAGCAATCTTAAAATTTCTATCAATCTGATTAGCATTCCCCTTCAGGGAAAAACAAGATGAAAGAGCAGTAACTGATTCGCATTGCACCCAGGTCCTATCTTTTAGCATTTGCCATGTCCGTGTCTCTCTTGTCTGTGCCCCAAGATTTCTACAAATAATAGATCCAACTAAAGAACATTTCATATACTGTGCACGTTCTCTAGTAGGTTTAGATGAAGTTTGACCCCATCTGCCACCATCAAGGTAACATTTATTTTTTTTCTATTTTTCTAGTTAAAAAATACGGTTTGCAATTTCCACTCCTTTTTCTCTTTAGACTTCATTTTCTTGTATCACCAACCCATTTTCGTCATTGTAACAGTATTTATTCTGACAATTATTCTTTAACAGAACTTCGTATTGCTTGCAATAAAGGTGAAGATCAGTTCACGCAGAGGCACGCTTTTTCAAGATTAAACGCCAAAATTGTTAGCTTGAGCACTCTGAAACGTTATATCGCATACCAACTACTGGGTCAACCAATTACAATCCCATAATTCAAATTTAGTCGAAAATCAAACTAAAATCACAATCAAGAAAAAAAAAAGTAGTAAATAAGGGCTGATGATACGACGTACAATGCATTTTACATCTACAACTAATTTCAGACATATGCAATTCAAATCAATTAAATCCAAGCTGTGGTGGACCACTAAGCCAGAAAAGAGAAATCGCTTCATACTGCAATGTCAACTGGACAAAAAATAAAGAAAACATATATTTATACATAGGTTTGCGATCTATTGGATATTGATAAAACATTAACTCGAAAAGCAAAAACGCTTCGAATTTAGAATTGGGGAGAATCCGAGCGAACCTGCCCTCAATTGAATGTTGGAGAAATTAGGGGTGAATTGAGAGACGAAGAAGCGTGACAATGGCGAGAATGTGAATTCGGTTTCTCTCTCTGAAAGATAGGAACTCTCTTCTTCCGTTCTCCTCCGAAGTGAGAGGAGAAGAGAAGAGAATAGCGAAGAGGATGCAAGCAAGCAGTGAAGAAGAGAGAGAGAGCGAGAGAGATTGGGCTAAATAAAGGTTAAATGACAGTTTGAACCACAGAAATTTTTATATTCTCAATTTATACCTGACAGATTAAAATTTTCAGATTGTACCCTTGATCAAACAAGAAGGTATCAAAGTGCTCCATTTAAGGGTAGCAATTTTGAATTAAAAATATTTTAAATTGAATATCAAGTAATTGTGCACAAAAATAAAATAATGTGGGAGATACAACAAAAGGACTTGTCAGAAAAGGCCACGAATATTTATTTTTGACTACATTGTTACCTTTTTATATGATTGAGAATGTAATATGAAAATTCTATTATTTTAAGGTATAATTAAAAATTTTAGATTTGGTGTGGTATGAAGTGTCATTCATTCATACAAAAATCAAACCATGAGGGTCCACAATTTTATTCATCGTCAATAATGATACAAATCTTGAAAATGATACCATTAATTAATAGGAATAATAAATAGGTTAAATTAAAATTAGGCACAATTAACATATATTATAAGTAAAAATTATAAATTTTTTAATTTTTTTTAATAATAATATATAAATTATTACAAAAATAAATATTTTTATTAACACAATGCGATACGTACCAAAACTAACATAAACCAAAAATTACAACATACGAAAATGATGCCACACTTGACACCATTAACTATGCCTGTGCTCAAGTGTCGTGTGCCCACATTAAGAAGTTAGTGATGGCAGCGGACAGAAGCGGCGGCAGGAGGCAGGGGGCATAGTCTCTATTTTTGTACTTTGCTTAAAAAAAATTTGTTCATCCCTGATTTATATTCGTTAAAGGGTATAATTTTCATTCTCATTTCTGTCTGTAGATAAATTTGTAATCCCTACCCTCGTCCCCAGCCACCTCTGTTCACCTTATCCGCCCAAGTTCAAGTCAACATAATCCAAAATTATAAATAAATCTAACATTTTAAATAATATAACATAGTTGTAGAATATCATAAAAATAATTAAAAATTTGTCATTTACAACATAATATAATTAAAATATTGTCTACAACATAATATAATATAATATAATTAAAAATTTGTCTCTCTTGTAAATCTAACACAATATCATACAACACAATATAATGTAACATAACATAATTCAACATATATATATATATATATATATATATATATATATATATATATATATATATATATATATATATATATATATATATATATATTAACACAAAAATCTATACTTTTACAAGCCAAAATCTTAAAAAAAATTAAAAAACAAAACAATTTAAAAAAAAAAAATCATTCAATAATATACAGATTTGTGTTCAAAGCAACATGTGTGTGTGTGTGTATATATATATATATATAATAATAGGTAAAGCGGGACGGGAAGGGGTGGGGCGGGGCGAAAGCGGAAGCGAAGGCGGAGGTGGGGGTAAGTGTCAGATCATCCCCGCCTTGATTCTTGTATAGGTTTATACGGGTATCATCGTATACGTCCACCGTCCAATATGTATGGTTTATCTTCGGTTCAAACGAGCGCAAGTTTAGACGAATACTCATTTTTACTCGGTCCATTGTCGTGCCTTTAAAAAGTATTGAACCGATTAAATAGAAAGGAGGGGATTGTGCACAGGCAGGTCGATTTGAATTTAGTCAGAGCTCAATTTGAAAAAGGCTAGTGGATCAGGTCGGGTTTGGATAGAAAAAATCTTAAAATTCAAGCAATCCTTGGATTAAGATCTCCAATTCTCAGAGCAAGTTTGAATCCAACTCAAACTAGTGAATTCGGGTTCAATTTGATTTAAACCCAAATTATAGGATCCTATAATAAAATTGGTTAAACCTGAATTCTTTTTGAATTGTGTGACCAATGTTTCAACCTCAAATTAAACCAAATCAAAACTTGTATTATTGACTTATTTAGAGCTTGCTTAAATATATAGTTTTTAAGGGTTTTAGAATAAAAAAAGTAAGGTGTGTTTGGACCTTAGTTTTTTACTAACTCACGTAGTAGTTAATGATGCACAAAATGGTTTTTGCACACCACCTGTCAAGTGTGAATAATAAATGCGAGAAAATAATATTAGAAGATAGAGAGACACAAATAATTTATAGTGGTTCGGTCAGCTTGGCCTACGTCCACTCTTTAATGACTCTAGTTGTCGGATATTTTATTAACTCAAGGGTGTAGGGAGCGAAGAGTACAAGTTTTGAGGGGGAGGAGAGAGTCGTGCTCAGGTGATGTGTGATGCCCCCCAAGTGTTGGTGGGCGCGTGCAATTTATAGTGGCCCCTAACAGATTGGGGCTATTTCTCAGTAACTAAACAACCATTTCGGTGGAGCTCACAACTTCTTCTCAACGAGTGAGATGGTTCAGGAGCTCCCTACGAGATGTGATCAAAGAAAGGTGAAGGTGGACCGTTTCTTTTTGCGGTGCAGGTAAGGCCCCCGTGCTCTCCCTCTTGATGATGTGGCTAAGCAGAATGTCTGACTGGTGGACTGTGTTGGGCTTGGTGGATCTTTAATGAGGTTGAACTCGTCAATTGAGATTTAGACTTTTCACATAGATTGGGTCATTTGGACTTGACCCATCATTTGCCCCCCCAATGCCCCATGTTTAAGGAAACTTGGAGAATGGTGCATTAGTTTGTTCCTTGAGTTATAAGTGGTGGAGACTTCTTCTGCTAGATGATTCTTTCCCTCCACAATGCATTTTTGTTTTGCATGCTTCAAGTTTTTTTCACTTTTGCTAAGATTTTTAGAAGAGCCCATAACTTTCAATTTAGGATTTTCTCTCTTTAAAAACGCTAGGCTATAAATATGACCTTCTTCTTCATTCTATCCATTTCATTCACTTTGAGATTGAACACTCATCTCTTAAAAACCTTGAGAGTCCATTCTTGTGAGCTAAGTTTTTTCCATGCCTTTGAGACTTGAGAGAAGGGAGGCAAGGCTTGAAATTTTTCAAGATCATTTTGTTGGTATTCTTGGGTGGAGTTTTTGAAGTGGGTACTGGAGATTTGAATAAAGTGGGATAAAAAAGCTTCATTGGTGCCATGAGGAGTGGTGAATTTGGGGCTGAAAAAAGTAATCTTGGAGTTGCAAGAGTCGAAAGAGAGGGAGGGGGAAAACCCCGCTGGCTGCCGCTGTTGCGCACGCGCCACAGGCGCTGGTTCAGGGGCCTCACATGTGGGTTTTGGTGTTTTTGGTAAGGCTTCCAGCCTAGCATGCAAGAAAAAAGATGGACTTCATAGGCGAGATGGGCAGCAAAATGGAGGCTGTCCTGGACAGCTCAGGCGCGCTGGGCAGCTCACGAGCGCTGGGAAGCAGCATTTTTTTAGCAGAAAGTGCAGGAAATCGACCCAAGAAGCAGCAAGGAGAGCTGGGCAGCAACCTAGGTGCAAGGGCAGATCTGGGTACCATTCCAGGCGCTGATTCGGGCACCATAGGCGCTGATTTAAGTGCCAAACGTGTTGTTTTGCGCAATTTTGAAGGGTTAGGCACCTCTCCAGCTGCTGGGCTGCTCCGTTTTGGTGACCAAAGGCGGTCAAACACCCCTCCAAGTGTTGGGTTGCCCTATTTGGATGAGCAAAGATGGTTAGACACCCTTCCAAGTGTTGGGTTACCTCATTTGGACGAGCAAAGGCGGTCAGACACTCCTCCTAGTGTTGGGCTAGACACTGTAGGCGGCAAGGAAGCTTTGGGTGCTTCTTTTGATGATCATGACCTGATTATGACTCCTCTAACCCAAGCTCCTCAAGACTTCCCAAATGGTGGCTTAGACTATTCCCTTTAGCCCCGAAAGAAGAGCGCAAAAGCAAAGTAGGACTCGATGATGATGGGTCTAAGGTAAGTACCCTTTCCAGTCTGTTCCGTTCAGATGAAGATTTCTCGAGGCTTGTTTTTACTTATCGCATTCCTCCGACCGTGCTGTGCCGTCGGGCTAAGTTAGGCGAGCTTGCTTGCGACGACTCTTCTGGTGATATTGTTGTTTACAAGGAAATGCTTGAGGTTGGGCTAAGATTCCCAATGTCCCCTCCCATTTGTCACATTTTGCATTATTTTTCCTTGACTCTAGGGCGATTAGCGCCCAATGGTTGGAGAGTTCTG